GCTTCCTGTCCCCCTGACCTGCCCCCCCGGAACCTCCCTGCCCCTTATCCACCCCCCCCGGTCCCCTTATCATGCCACTCAGAGCAGCATGTCTGGCAGCCGCGCCGCTCGGCTGGAGCCAGACGCTCTGCCCTGCAGGAGCGCGCAGCCACGCTGCCCAGAGTGCTGCCCGCACAGCGGCGTGGCTGCGAGGGTGAGGGGACAGCAGGGGAGGGGCCGGGGGCTAGCGTCCCCGGTCAGGAGCTCAAGAGCCAGGCAAGATGGTCCCACAGGCCGGAGGTGGCCCGCGGGTTGTCGTTTGCCCACCTCTGTGCTAGATGATCTACAGATACATAATAAGAGCAAGTCCTTGCCCCAAAGAGCTTACAGTTTAAGGCCTCGATACAGCAGCTGTCTCCATGCTCTCAGGCCCCTGAGGGAATGGGACCACTTGTCAATAAAGTTACTCACATGTATAAGTGCTAAAAGGATCAAGGCTGAATTCAACTGAAGCTGCACAAGTCGGAAGAAGGATGGTCCAACAGTCAAGGTGCTAGCATGGGATGATGAAGATCTTTGTTTAAGTCCTTTCTCTGTCACAGACCCCCTCTGCCACCTTAGCCAAGTCTTTTAGTCTCTCTCTGCCTCCATTCCCCAGCTGTGAAGTGGGGATATTAGCACTGCCTTACCTCACAGGGGTGTTGTGGGGTTAAACACATGAAAGATTGTGAAGCTCTGAGACTCTACAGTGATGGGCGCCATAAAAGTGTGTAGGAGGTAGGAAAAGGGTTACGGTAAAAGATAAAGCGGTTACATACCTATGAGCTTATTTTGATGGGGCAGAAGCTTCTCTAATGGTGAAGCTCATAGCTTCTGCCCCATCATGCTTAATACAAATTATGATTGGCCATGGAAGTGTAAAAATACCAGTCTTCGAGAAATAGTCAGCGAAGAAGAAATGATGGTTGTTTTAGATTTTATGTATGCAATTATTGGTTTATTTTCCAAAGTTTGTTTATGCCAGGAATCGCCTAGAATCTGAGTAGGATTTTCTAATCAAATTATAGCCGTGGTTTTTGTAGGTAAATTCTTGCTAATTTTATTTCTTCCTCCCTGCACCGTGATGTCCATTTTGGGGACTGGTTGACCTGCGGCAGAGCTGCTTTATGAAAGGGGGTAGTGCTAAGTCTCTTAGCTGCGATGCCT